CGACTTAGCTGCGACTCGAGCCTAGTTTTTAATCTATAAAACGACTTTGACTCGAGTCGACTAAATGAGCCGCATTGGTCGGCTCACTTAGTCGGCACTCGCTGGGTCTGCTCAATTTTTTTGTTTTTTTATAAAATCTGGTAAATTTTGGGTTATTGATTAATGTGAACAAAATTATAATAATATTCATGTCGTAACTATAAATGGCTCAGGACCCGAATTCGGCTTCAGATATTATATATCTATTTTTTATAACACAAAAATGTATATAATTTATATTGTAAAGATGTTAAATTAAAATTTCAGTAAAGATGTACCCTAGATAAGTGACAATTGTCATAATCGTTATTTTTAAAGATTTTTGAAATTTTTTGACGCAAGTGGGTAAAAATATAGATTGTAAATATGTTATTAAATTTTTAGTGAAGATGTACCCTAGATAAGTGACAATTGTCATAATCGTTGTTTTTAAAGTTTTTAAAATTTATTTGACGTAAATGGGCTAAAATAGGTATTGCTAACATGTTAAAATAAAACTTCAATGAAGATGCACCATAGATAAGTGACAATTGTCATAATCGTTGTTCTAGAAGTTTTTTAAATTTTTTTGACGTAAATGGGCTAAAATAAGTATTGCCAACATGTTTAAATGAAACTTCAGTGAAGATGTACCTAGATATAGGGTTTTCCATTCAAAAAAGGAAAAGTCCCAATCAAAAAAGGAAAATCGTAATTTTTGTCAATTTTTCTTAAACCTTTATTTATTTTTGTTATTCCTTCTCAATTTATTTCTAATTTTTTGCGATTTTCTTTACTTTTATTTTTCTTACTATATCTTCTCTCAATTTATTTTTCTTCTCATTTTGATAATTCTTTTGTATTTTTAAATTTAGGTCTATTTTTTTAACAATCTTTACGTTTTTTTTTCATTATACATATAATATTCTTTTTATGATTTTTTCATTGTAATTTTACAAACATTTTTAACCTTTTCAATCATCATTTTTAATCTTCATTTTTTTGACCTTTTCTCAATTTTTTTCTTCTCATTTTTGATAATTATTTTTTAAAATTATATTTAATTTTTTTGGCAGACAATATAATTACAATTGCTAAATTATAAATTAATCGTTTGGTTTACCTTAACTGTAATACCAAACGATATTTAAATTAATAAAATATAATCATTTTTAAATTCTTATTTTTAAAACGCATTAGAAAATTATTATTATTTAAAACAATAGGAAAGGAAGACAGACTAAATAAAATTAATTTTTTTTTATATTTCCATGGATTCGACTTATTTTTATACATTATTATAGCGCTGTAAACATTTCTCAAAAAATCGAACACGTTCAAGTTCATGTTCAAAAAAAGGAACGCGTTCACGAACACGTTCACGTTCATAAAACCGTTCAAAATTTTATGATAAATTTTTTAAAAATTTAATTTAATATAAATAAACTTATATTTTTTAATACAATATATTTTGGCTATGTTAAAATATAATATAGTTTTATTTTGATAATATAATTATAAATAAAATATAATAATATAATATAGCGAATAAAAAGATATTTGTATTTATAAAAAATTTTTATTATTAAATTTTAATAACAATTGTTTTCAAAATATTTATCTGATATACAGGAACACTTGGCAGTTAATACGGCATTAGCCTAAAAACACGCCCTACAGAGGCAGATGAGTGGATTGCGGTATTATACTTCATAAACAGCTCTTTTAACGTGGAGAATTAATTAAAAACATATTGTTTTGTTATTTGCAAAAAATTTAGATTACTCTCGACAAAAAAAAAGGATATCTCGAAATTAACAGTTTTCCTGGGTTTTCAAAGCATTTTTTTAAATATCGTTATAAGTTTGTTTTTAATATGTTCGTTCTGTGGAAGTTTTATTCATGGCCATTGAAGTTTAAAAGCTGGATGTATAATTGCAGAAAGAACATATTGATTCTTATATATATGTTCAAATCTTTAAAAAAATAAAATATATGTAATAATTGAGAGTGATAGATTTAATACCTTTTATTAATCCCATTTAATACGGCGTCTATCAATGGTTGACCATATTTGAGGCCACTAATTTTTTTAATTTTTATATAATTATCGCTATTGTTGGGGTCAAATATCCCAAATGCATTATTTCTTCAAATTTAATGATTTAACTTAGTTATATCGAATAAAATCAAAAGTCGTTTTAAATTGGAACCTGAAGATTTTGACAATATAATACTTTTTGGCCACATTTTACACTTGGTAAGCATTGGATTAGTTCCTTCAATATAGGATGTTAATGTAAAACATTTATCATATTTGGCCATGGTAATGATGATTCATCTGATTTTGGATTTTCAGAATCAGATGATGAGGATTAAATAATAATATCCATGCTTATGCTAATCTATTAAATTAAAATATAAACAATAATATTCAAATTAATAAACTATGTGTTATAAAAATTGAAATATAAAAAGGAAGTACACAGCCTATTAAAAAATATAAATAATACATTTTAAAATAAAATTCGGAAATATTAAATTTTTCAAATAAATAAAAATAAAAATATTTTTAAAATTGAACGAACGTTAAATTCGAACGCGTTCGTCATAAAAAAGGAACGCGTTCACGTTCAAAGTTTGTCAAATATAAAAAGAACGCCGTTCATCATTTTTTTCAAAAAAACGAACTTCGTTCACGAACGCGTTCATTTACAACATACATTATTATAATATAAAGTGTAGGTTATTTTATAAATAAAGATTATATATAGTAAAAAAAATTCGTCCTTATTTTTTTTTATTTAAATTTATAAATTAGTTTTATCAATGTCAAATATAAAATAGATGTTTTAACTAAATAGTCTTTAATAAACAAAATTATATATACTAGGATATTGTAATGAACTAAACTAGCAAAAATAATTATTAAAAATGAGAAGAAAAAAATTGAGAAAAGGTCAAAAAAATAAAGATTAAAAATGACGAGATTGAAAAGGTTAAAAATGTATTTAAAAGATTACAATGAAAAAATCATAAAAAGAATATTGTATGTATGATGAAAAAAAAACGTAAAGAATTGTTTAAAAAATGGACCTAAATTAAATTATTTTTAATACAAAAGAATTATCAAAATGAGAAGAATAAATTGAGAGAAGATATAGTGAGAAAAATAAAAGTAAAGAAAATCGCAAAAAGTTAGAAATAAATTGAGAAAAGATACAGTAAGAAAAAAAAACGTAAAGAAATCGCAAAAATTTAGAAATAAATTAAGAAGGAATAACAAAAATAAATAAAGGTTTAAGAAAAATTGACAAAAAATTTTAAAAAATCGATTTTCCTTTTTTGATTGGGACTTTTCCTTTTTTGAATGGGAAACCCTGTATCTAGAGTACATCTTCACTGAAGTTTTATTTAAACATGGTTAGCAATACTTATTACGTCAAAAAAACTTTAAAAACAACGATTATGACAATTGTCACTTATCTATGGTACATCTTCACTAAAATTTTATTTAAACATGTTAGCAATACTTTTTTAGCCCATTTACGTCAAAAAAAATTAAAAACTTTGAAAACAACTATTATGATAATTGTCACTTATCCAGGGTACATCTTCACTGAAATTTTAATATAACATATTTACAATCTATATTTTTACCCACTTACGTCAAAAAATTTCAAAAATCTTTAAAAATAACGATTATGACAATTATCACTTATCTAGGGGTACATCTTCACTGAAATTTTAATTTAACATCTTTACATTATAAATTATATTTTTACATTTTGTGTTATATAAATTAGGTATATAATCCCTGAAGCCGAATTCGGGTCCTGAGCAATTTTTAGTCATGACATGAATATTCTTATTATAATTTTGTTCACATTAATCAATAATCCAAAATTTACCAATTTACCAGATTTTATAAAAAAAACAAAAAAATTGAGCAGACTTATCGAGTCGACTTACATGAGCCGACTAAGCGAGCCGACTTCATGCGCCGACTAAGTGAGTCGGCTCATGCGGCTCCTTTATCGACTTGAATCGGAGCCGTTTTTTACTACTCGAGTCGCAAGTCGTAAGAACTCGACTTTTTAACAACACTACACACTACTATAGTATTTTCAATAAAAAAATTATATTCTACTTATATTGTATGAGAATTTAAGTTGAGGCTAGTTTTTAAAGCAAATTTTATAAAAAAATGACATTAAACTTTATTTCAACTTTACATTTAAAAAAACTTTATTAAATATAAATACCTAACTTAAAATAATAAAAAATAGGCTTATAATATCCATAAGCACGAATTAGTAAATAATAACTAAAAATAGAAATATAATTATTATTAAATTATGAATAATTTAATAGAATAGAATAGAATAGCTAAAACATAAGACCCGGCCGAAGACCGGGGAAAAGCTGGCCGAAGCCCAGGTAAGGAGGGTTTGAGGACGAACCCCCCCATAAGAAAATCCTGGATACGCCACTGTAATCATCACTATTATCATTTTTTTTGAAGTTTTTTTATAAAGCAGGCACATTTTTAAACATAAAATATTTTTGATTATCACATAAGAAAAGTAATGGTATGATTGGTTAAAATTAAATGGATGGAACCCCATAAAAATAAATAACTTTAAGCTTAAAGATAAACTATATTTTATTAGATAAAAAATAATATAAGGTTTTTTTTGAAAAGGAATGGAAAAGACCTAAATAAAAATAATATTTTGGCTCTAACCCTATTTCTAACATAAGTGAATTTTAGGCCTTATAATAATCCAGCAGCAATATGTTAATGATATATTTATTAATTGTTAATTCATTTAACCATTTTTATATGATTGTAAAAAATTTTGATAGATAAAAAAAATAATTTTAGAAAATAGATGTTTTTTAAAAAAGCCTCCATTCTTATTTACATTTTTCTATGTTTGTATAATTAACCATTCAATAAACACGGACCATCCCACCAGGTATGTATAGCAGCCATAATGGTCGTAATCGATTTGTATCGCAGCATAGGAAGAAATCTCCTTCCTTATACCGAAAGTATATTAGGGACCATGATTCAGATACTAGCGGTTTGACCTTTAAAGCATTTTATTAATAAATTTTTTTATCTCCCAGTGAAAATTTTTTACACGTGATGTAATTTTTTTATATATTCTTTTTAAGATTTTTAGTTATTCAAAAGTAAATATTGTATCACTGAAATTGCTATCTTACTAAAATATAACAAACTAAGGATTTTTGTTATTTAATATAGTCTCATTTATAAAATGGTAACAAAATTGTCTGATTTATATATATTATCAACGATTTTCAGGAAAAGTTGAATATTTAGTAAGAAATTTGGAAATAAAGAAAATAAAAAGAACCAATCTTCTAATTTTAATGAAATTTATATTTTCAATAGGTTAGCTTGCTTCATTATTGCAGTTAAGTATTTATCGCAATTGAATAACAGACAAAGATAAATCTTATTATAAATTATTTCAATATTTTCCCAAAAGTCAAAGAAATTAAATAAAATTTATCATATTTTAGTCTGCCATTATATTTTATTTTTAGGATGACAATGATTCATATTTGGAAGTTATGTTAATAGTTTGTTTCTAATATAAATTGTAATATTTGCACAAAAATATATAAATAACATTAAGATGATATTTGTTATTGAATTTTTGTTTGACTTTATAAACTATTTTCAATATTGCTGTTAAAAAGGCGTGCTCGTTATTCTTTAACATTGTTATAATTTATACAATCATTTTAAACGCTATATTTTTAACAAAAACAATAAAACCTAATGTTGTGTGAAATTTTTTTAAGCAAAAATGCCCCTGCATTTTAAAAAAATTTGCCCTCCTGGAACAATTTCAGCTAGTCACTTGAGTATGGGATTGAACTATGTCCATATTTTTGCTCGTTTTAGTAATTTAATATCCGCTAAATATGATATTAAAGCATAATTTAGTGATTCCGCCGCAATAAATTATATAATCTTCAATCCTCATTACCAAAAAAATATAAGTTACGAAAAAATATCTTACTAAATTATTTACCTAAAAACCAATCAGGATCCTTCAGCCGATAAGTCCACCAAGCCTCATATATTCAGTTGTCTGGGAGACGTGGCCTTGGCCTTAGGTACTTCTTTCTCCCCTTTCGCCTCGCCCATTCTCAGTACGCTCGTTCAGGCATCTTCTTTTAAACTCTCTTCGGAAAAGGCCTCTAACGATATCATCGACGAGGTCATGATCGATTTCGTTAATACTCTCAGGGATAGCTGTGTAGAAGCCTACACCGGTAATAATCATTGTAGTTATATATATTATTTTTTATAGTTTGGCCTAACTTCATTTTGTGATAGCTGACTAACGGGTATCAAAAAATTTACACCACACAATTAGGGATTTCATTAAATTTTGTTTTTTTAAATAGTGTTGATATTCTCTAAAATTGTTTATTACCTTTATATTAAACGATTTAATAAAAAATCTCGTTAGCCATTTTTGTTTTTTTAATTCTATTTGAATTTTTATTATTTATATAAATAAAATAGATAATATAGATAGTGTTATATTCAAAAGTCATTATAATATAATATTTTTAATAAAAATATGTATTATATTGGTATTAAAATTTAAAAAATCGATTAAGTATAACCAATATGATGTCCTGGGGCAATAAGTAAGGATACAGTCCATACAGATATGATTATTATTAAGACGCTATATTGTAAAATAAACATTTTAAAATTTTATATTCAAACTATTATAAAAACATATCTTATTTTTATCATATTCCATTTTGCGCTTATTAATAAAAATTTTTGAGGCCATAATTTGTATATATATCATTTCACTTGTTGTCCAGGAATGTGAACCCTTCGACAAAAAAAACGGTCCGGGTTCCAGGAATAAAATTTGAAAAGACCCGGGTCCAGGTTCAAGGAACATAAAAATAATGAATCAAAATAAGATTTTTTTTCCATTCATTTATTAATATACTTCAATAAATATGGAATCATGTGGGATTCGGAATCCCAACGTGGGGATTCAAGGTTTTATTCGGGATCTTTAATATTTAAAAAAATATTCCGAATCTCCATGAAAAAAAATAAAATAATTTAATTACTTTTTCTTCTCTTTTTTTGCTGCTGGCACCATATAATTAAAAGGTCAAAATAAGGGATTTAAAAAGAGAATTTTAAAAAAAGTAAATAGTATAAAATTAAGGCATATAATGAATGAAAAGGGATGAGGTTAAGACTTTTTTTTTAAAATATATCAATATATTTATAAAAAATCCAAATTATTGCAACAAATTTCGTTGAACATTTAAGCAGGGACGGTTACGGTTCAGTATGTAAAAATTTATAATGGTTACTTTTTGGTTACGGTTCTTGAGAAGAAATTTATAAAGGTTCGGTTCAACTAATTATAAAGGTTTAGTTCATAATTTTTTTTTTATTGAAACCATCTTCTAATTTATTTATATTATGAGCATCTATGAATTATATATATATAAAATATATAAGATTCAAAATAACGTAACTTAGCCCTTTCTACAGAAACTTACTGTTTAACTCTTTTTTCTAAAGGTTCTTTTTACTCCTTCAAAAAATAATTATATTCGGTTACGGAAAAATAAATTTTTTAAAAAAAATATTTAAGGGGATTCGAATCTTTTTTTTAAAAACAATTAAATTATATTTTATTGCCTCCTAGCTGGCACCGTAAAATTTTATTTTTTATAGATATTAATATGTAGTGTTTGCAACGGTCCGGTCCGGTCCAGTCCGGTCTTATTAGACTTTTCGGTCCTATGGGACGGTCCCGTCCAACAACACGGTCCGGTCCGACCGAAGACCGATTAAAGAATATAAAAGTTTACTATAAATTGCTTTATAGTTAATGTGTATGTACATGAACATATAAAATATGATTATTTAATGCCTAACACTATATAATATCTAATTCATCGTTTACTTTTTATATTCTTCCGTTTCATTAAATTCAATATTCATAGTTTACTTTTTATATTCTTCTTTGATTAGGCATTTGTGTATAATATAATAAAAATGAATTGATGATATAATTGAAATATTAATAGGGTAATTTAACTATTCATTTTTAATAAATTTAAATGCAGAATAAAACTTTTGTAGCTTTATAAAAAAAATTTTTTTAGGTGGGACCGGACCGCCTAGACCGGACCGACGGTCCCACGGTCCGGTCTCATTTGACTTAACGGTCCATCGGTCCGGTCCCATTTTAGAAAAAAAAGACCGGACCGTTGCAAACACTATTAATATGTATTACTTTTACGCTTTAAAAATATTTTTTGGTTTTAAAAATTTCAAAATAAGGGATTTTAAAAAAGGTAAATAGTATAAAATTAAGGCATATAATGAATGAAAAGGGATGAGGTTAAGTCTTTTTTGTTTTAAAAAATATTAATAAATATGTTTATAAAAAAATCCTAATTATTGCAACAATTTTCGTTGAATAAAAAATTATAATGGTTACGTTTTGCTTACGATTCTTTTATAAAATTGCAAATTTTATTTAAAATTTATTCCCACTCACGCCGTGACCCACCGTTAACACGATGGGTCAAGTGTAATTTCACGGCCCGCGCCCACCTCTAATCATAATTTTTTAATTGTGTTTAGATAAAAAAAAATTTCAATGATAAAATGGTTAAATCATTAAGAAATGGATCCTTCATGGTATTAAGAAGTCTTGGCAGTATATGAGGTAGTAAGAATTTATCATCTCTTATATTATGCATGTGCAAATATTAAATAAGCATTTGTATTATTTTGGTTAATATTTTTAGGCATATTTTGAAATTGGTAAAATAATTTTATGATAAGAAATCAACCTAATTTGCTAAACATCGACCAAAATTTATTAAAATATAATAAGACCCCCCATTTATTATTAGATTTAATATGTATACGGAATCACGAGGTCACCAGAAATCACTTGGTTATGGAAGCATAACAATAAAAGTATTATATAATTTTTTTTTTAAGTACCCCCATTCAAATTTTTAGAAGCAGTTGCTTCGGACCCTTACCGTTGTAGGGGCTATTGGTCCCCGGGTTGGGTTCACTCGTTCCCAAAAAAAATTCCATAAAAAATAACATTTTGAAAAAAGTATTAGATATATATTTTTGAAATTTAAAACGACTATAAAACTAATTGAGCTGAACAGATTGAGATATTATTTATTAAAAATGATAAAGTATAATTTTAATAAGGTTTGCTTTTTAGGACTCGACAAGACCCAGGTCTCCCCTAATGAATGAAAAGGGATAAGGTTAAGAAGACATTTTTATTTTTATAAATTTATATAAAATCTTTACATGAATATATATTTATAAAATAAAAATTTATTTATTGCAACAGTTATGCAATGGAATATAGCATTTGGTTGAACATTTAAATTTGTTCTTGAAACATTCGCATCGTTTATTCATGCAACCCATTTTGCAATTGCATAACGAAGTTTTCCCATAGTTTGTAACGTATCGTGATTCGCGAAGCTCCTAAATATTTTTAGTAGTTGAAATAAAAAGTGAATATATATTATTAGGAGTATATATGGTTACTGTAAAAATAGCTTAAATTACCTATTAATGATATCTTTATTGGGAACTTCAAAATGATTTAATTTTAAAGTTTTATATAAACTAGAAGCAATAAAGGGTGTTGAAATTCTTCCAGCACAGATTCCTATCCATATTTTATTTTTTTCAATTTTTATTACTTTTCCTTCTAAATTTTTAGGACAAATATTAGTTCTATCTGTCCTATGGATAGGTAATAATACGTGATCACCTAATATAAAGTTGTATTGTCCTATTATTTGAGAATAAATAATGTTTTGACGCCCACGATCATTTAAATATGAATTAAAAGAAGGAGCCCTTTTTAAAATATTGGAAATACTATTCCCAATATTATTGGTAGCACATAGATTTTTCTAGTGTTGTTAAAAAGTCGAGTTCACCCGACTCTGACTCAGAGTCGTTAGTCGAATTAGTCGACTCACTGAAGTCGAGAACTCAAGTTGACTCAGTCGTGAACTCAAGTCGACTCAGTCGTGAACTCAAGTCGACTCAGTCGTGAACTCAAGTCGACTCAATCATGAACTCAAGTCGACTTGAGTCGAGAACATGAGTTTTCCACTTGAGTCGTGAACTTAAGTCGACTAGAGGACGAATATTTCGAATAGGTATTGTATAATATTATTTTTGTTACAATTAATTTGTGGTTTTCATGCAAAAATTTTAAGCAAAATTTGAATTGATAAGAATTTAAAATCTTCTTTTTTAATTAATTTTTTTGTGAATTATTAATCTTTTAGTTGAAATCTTTTATGGGTTTATTTTTATCATTTTTGTAAAATTATTTTTTTTTTTTTAGTATATTAAAAGAACTAGTTTAAATAATTTATAAATATTTATATTATTTTACATGATTGTCTTATAATATTTTAATGTGACAATTGTCATGATATTTTTAACATTTTTGAAATTTTTGGTAAGGGTAAAAATATAATTATATTTTAAATATGTTAAATTATAAAATATCATAATCTGTATTTTAAAACATATTAGTTTATTTTTGACGCTAATGGGTAAAAATATAGATTGTAAATATGTTAAATTAAAATTTCAGTGAAGATTTCCCCTAGATAAGTGACAATTGTCATAATCGTTATTTCTAAAGTTTTTTGAAATTTTTTGACGCAAATAAGTAAAAATATAGGCTGTAAGTGAAGTTGTACCATTGTGACAATTGTCATAATCGTTATTTTTAAAATTTTTTTAAAGTATATCGGTAAAAATATATATTGTAAAAATGTTAAATTAAAATTTCAGTGAAGATATACCTCGGAAAAGTGACAATTGTCATAATCGTTATTTTTGAACTTTTTTAAAGTAAATAGGTAAAAATATACATTGAAAATAGAATTAAAATTACAGTGAAGATGTACCATAGAAAGTGACAATTGTCATAATCGTTATTTTTGAACTTTTTTGAATATTTTTAAAGTAAATGGGTAAAAATATATATTGTAAAAATGTTAAAATTTCAGTGAAGATATACCATAGAAAAGTCACAATTGTCATAATCATTATTTTTGAACTTTTTTGAATTTTTTTAAAGTAAATAGGTAAAAATATATATTGTAAATATGTTAAATTAAAATTTTAGTGAAGATGTTCTATAGAAAGTGACAATTGTCATAATCGTTATTTTTGAACTTTTTTGAATATTTTTAAAGTA